AATATCTTTCTTTGTTTCTTATAACCCTGTTTGAAACAGAGTCTGTCTTGCCTGGTATTAGGATAGGTACCCATACCCCTCTTTTGGTTACTGTTTGCATGAAAATCAATCCTCATCTTTCCAATTTCAATCTACTTGTCTCTTTCAACCTAAAGTGAGTGTCTTGTATACAGAATATATTTGCATCATTTAAAAAATCTATTCTGGCAATCTATGTCTAGTTTGGAGAGTTCAATCTACATTGATTAGTTATTGAAAAGGAGGGGGTACTAGTGAAATTTTGTTGTTTTTCATACGAATTATAGCTTTTTAAAAGGCTAAAAAATAATTGAAATATAACGTTGTGTAAGTTTAAAATGTTGATTTGATATAATATGTATTACAATATTATAGTGTAAGCGCCTGACAATCAACTTTTTTTATTATAAGCTATTGATTGCTGAGAAATGCATTTCAAATACATCTGGAGTAAACATATTGACAGCTACACAACTAACTGGAGATTCAGGCTTTCCCACTGATGGCATTCTCATTTCAGAAAGCCCGTGGTGACCTAGAAAAGAATCACTGAGTAACTCTGTTTCCTTTCCCACACTTCAATTTCTATTTATGTTTTAAATTCACAGATAGAAACTGAACTCACCCTAGGTACCCCATACTTGATCTCAAAAAAAGCATAATCCCAGGTCTGCATTTGATCTCTCTACCTGTTTTCTTTAAGTACAGTTCCAGGTATATTCTTTACCCTCCAGAAATTCCAAGTAATATATTATTTTTTTCTGAAGCTCCCTGATGGGTATTGCTGAGGTATGTCCTGCAGTCATAACCAGAACCATGAGGGCTCATCCTGCCACAACATTGTTTGTGGTTGTTGAAATTACCTCTGGCAGAAAAAAAATCTAGGGGCTTGCCACAACAGTACAAAATCTGAATGCCCTCTGGTATTCCTAGATGACAGCATCACTAATCATGGGCTTAGGCTATCAAAAAACTGAATTCCCTCTTTAAACTGCTTTAGAAGTATCCCATAGGTGGTTGTTTTTTCTATTTTGATTTGTTTTTAGGTATGTTTTATACTTAGTTTTTAATTTCTTTATTAACTTGTTATTTAGGAGTGTGTTAATTTCCACATACTTTGAAATTCTAGGTTTCCTCTTGTTGATTTCTCATTGCATGCCATTATGGTCAGAAGAGATACTAGCATGAATTTCATTTTCTTAAATTTGTCAATACTTATTTTATGTTATATAATCTACCTGAGAGAATGTTAGGTATGTACTTGAGAAGAATGTATATTCTGCTTCTGTTGGGTGTGTGTTAGGTTCTTTTGGTCTAATGTATGCTTCAAGTAGATTATTTCCTGGATTGGATGTATGGATGATGTGTCCATTACTGAAAGTGGGATACAAAGTCTTCTAGCATCATAGTCTTTTTCTCGCTTGAGATTTGTTAGCATTTGGTTAATATATTTAAATGCTCCAATGTTGGGTATGTACATATTTATGATTATATATTATATCTTCTTGATGAACAGGCTACTTTGACATTATTTAATGACCTTTTTCTATCTTATTACTGTTTCTGGATAAAATCTATTTTGTCTGATGTAAATATAGTGATTTCATTTCTACTTGCAGGGAATATATTTTCCCATATTTTCACTTTGAGCCTATTTATGTCTTTATTTTATTTATTTTATTTTATTTTGTTGCTGTGATAGGACTTCCAGTACTATCTTGAATGAGAGTGATGAAAGTAGACACACCTGTCTTGTTCCTGTTCTTAGGGGACATGGTTTTAGTTTTTGCCTATTGAGTATGATGTTGGCTCGAGGTTTCTCATATATGGCTTTTATTATGTTGAGGTATGATCCCTCTGTTCCCACTTTGCTGAGATTTTTGTATCAAAAGTGGGTGTTGGATTTTCTCGATTGCTTTTTATGTGCCTATTGATATGATTGTGTGATTTTTGCCTTTCAGTCTCTTTATGTGATGTATCACATTTATTGATTTGCAAATATTGTACCAGCCTTGCATTCCACTTGGTCATGATGTATGATCTTTTTAAATATATTGCTTGATCCAAATTGCTAATATTTTGTTGAGTATTTTACCGTCTATTCCCATCAAGGATATTGGCCTGTAATTCTTTCTTTGTAGTGTCTTTATTTGGTTCTGTAATTGGGATAATGCTGGCCTCAAAAACAGAGCTTGTTTTCTTCCTGTTAGATATTTTGGAATAGTTTGAAGAGAATAGGTGCTAGTTCTTTGAATTTTTGGTAAAACTCCCTGTGAAAGTATCCAGGCCGTGGCTTTTGTTTGCTGGGAGTTTTTCTATGGCTGCTTCAATTTCATCAACTGTTATTGACCCATTCAGCTTCTCTTATTCTTCCTCATTTAAGTTTGAAGATTGTATTTTCCTAGGAATTTGTCCATTTTGTCTACATTGTCCAGCTTGTTGGCATATAGTTGTTCATAGTATTTTTTACAATCCTTTGCATTTCTTTTTGGTAAGTTGGTACTTCACCTTAATAATTTCAGATTTTATTTATTTTGGTCCTCTCTTTTTTTTCTTAATAAGTCTGACTATAGGTTCATCATTCTTTTTTATCTTTAAAAGAACCAGCACTTAGTTTCACCGATATTTGGGGTTTTGTGAGTTTTTAGTCTCTATGCCATTGATCTGCTCTGATCTTTATTATTTCCTTCCTTCTACTTATTGTAGGCTCTTCTTCTTGTGCTCTTTCTAAATCTTGAAGTTTTAGGGTTAGGTAGTTTATTAAAAGTTTTTCTTGTTTTTTCAGATATGCCTGTAGTGCTGTGAACTCCCCTCTCAGGACTGCTTTTATTGCATCCCGGAGATCTTGGGTTGTTGTTTGTTCATTTGTTTCTAGGAAGTTTTTGATTTCTTTCTTGATCTTATTGGTAACCCATTAATTGCTTAATAACATGTCATTTAACCTCCATATGTTTGAATGTTTTTTAGTGTTTTTACTGTTGTTGATTTATAATTTCTTGCTATTGTGATCCAAGAAGATGCTTAATATGATTGCAATCTTCTTGAGCTTGTAGAGACTTGTGTCCTAACATGTGGTCTATTTTTGAGAATGTACCATGTGCACTTGAAAAGAATGTATATTCTGCAGGTTAGGGGTGAAATGCTCTGTAAATGTCAATTAAATACATCTGACCTAGTGTGCCATTTATAATTACTGCTCCCTTGTTGATTTTTTGTCTGTAAGACTTATTCAGTTATGTCAATGGGATGTTGAAATCCCCTACTATAATTGTATTGCTATCAATCATTCCCTTAAAGTCCTCCAGAATTTTTTTTTATTATATATTTAGGTGCTCCTATACTGGTGAATATATGTTTATCAGGGTTATGTCCTCTTATTGGATTGATCCCTTTAGTATTTTGTAGTGCTCTCTCTTGTCTCTTATTATGGCCTTCATTTTGAAGACTATTTTGTCTATTAAGAGTATTGCTACATGAGCATTTTTTTCATGCCCATTTGCAAGGACAAAATTTTTCCATCACTTCACTCACATCCTTCGTGGGTCACTTGTTATGAGGTGGGTCTCTTGTAGGCAGCATATGTTTGGATCACATTTTCTTATCCATTCAGTCACCGTATGTCTTTTGGCTGGAGAATTTAATCCATTTACATTTAAGGTTGTTATTGATAGGTAATTAAGTATTGCCATTTTAATTCTTTATGCCTATGTCTCTCTCTATACATTTCAACCTCTTATTACAGCAATCCTTTTAACATTACTAGCAATGCAGATTTGGTGGTGATAAACTCCTTTAACTTTTTTTTTTTTAATCAGGGAAACTTTCACCATCTATTTTTCATTTTATTTTATTTATTTTTTAAATTTTTATTTAAACATTTTAAATAAATGTTAGAAGAGATTTATCACAATTATTAAATCCTTTATAAAACAATTGCTAATGTTTACCCAACTGTAATGGTTTCTATGCAGAATTGGAAATTTTGTAGTGAAATAGGGTCTATAAAATAGTTCTTTTAGAAAGCTATCAAAATGCTACTGTTAGGCAAAATAATGTTTAAAACTGAATTCTCTGTATGCAAGTTAGTGAGGTCTCAAACACCTGTATTCTTTATCCCAGTGACAAAATAATGGAAAAATAAACATTAAACTGACTTACTGAGGAAACAATGAATAAGTATTCTGTAAATATCTCAAATTTTTAATTACTTCCAGAGGCAGCATCATTACAAGGTATCAATAATCATACTATGTACTCAAATAAAATGAATGTTAATAAAATGAACTTTCAAAGTTTATTTGAACTTGTTGCATCCCTTATTGTAAAATATGTTAAGGAAGTCTTTATTACCCTGAAGGCTTATGGTATGGGTCATAAACTGTACAGGAGAGTCTCTTTATAGAGAATAGTAACTTATCCCTTTTAGAAGTGAATGACATCTTTTTAGTAGTGCTGCTGGTTAAAACAAACAAACAAGTTCAAAATATGATGGCAACACACAAAAGTGGCTGACAGTTCTGGTGTTTGTCTGAGGGGTACAGTCTGTATAGCTTAACAAATACTGGTTTTGAAGCTTCATTTCAAAAGCATGCTTCTTTCCTGCCCAACTGATACCATTCCAGAGAGCAGAATCCAAACCACCAACTTAAAAGGGATATGGCTCAGTGAAGAAAAGAGTAACTGATTTTCACCAAAGATTAAAAAGCAAACTCAATTACCAAAGTATTTGAAATGACAAGGAATTTAAAAATTCAATACTTTGAAATTTACCCTTTGAGCTACGTATGGATGCTTTTTATATATAATTGTTAGTAAAACAGATGCATTACATCATTCCAAGTTGTACTTATGAATATTATGATGCTTGGTGCTGAAAATAGATATTATGTCTTAGGAATTACATTTTGTGAAAATCTTCAGTGAGACGCAATCCTGCAGAAGGCACCTTGTTTCCCTTCTCCCTCCTGATACTATTAGGGTCTTCAAGTAATTTTTAGAGAAACCACAAGACAATAATGAAGGACCAGAAGACCATCCTGCGTTGCTGCATCACCTATCGTACACTGAATTTCCCTCAGAGTTTGATACCGCTCCAACAAGTGATCAGCACAGATACTGTCTACCTGATGAGGTGGATCAAGATCCATTTTTCTTTTGAGAAATTTTTTGCATGCTCAATAGTTGCTTCTCCTGAAACTCTGAAAAACTTCTTTTCTAATGGCTTAACATGTCCTGTGTCTTCATTAGCACCAATTAATTCTATTAATAAAGGCATATTGAGTTCAGGTGGAATCTGAAACACTGATTCTAAGGCTTTCTTAGATCTTCCTTTGCTTGAAGGGACTGGCTGTGGAACAGTACTTCTAGACCTCTTTCTTTATAGAAATTATGCATTTGCTTTTTTTTCTCTTTCCTCTAGATTGCTCACTAATTTGTAGAGGAAAGAGTACAAACTGTTAGTCCAACCTTATGTTATAAAGAGGTTGAGTCTGATGTAGTAGGATGTTGCATTCTGGACATTTGTTGCTATAGTAAAAATGTCTTACAATGCAGCTTTTACAAAATGTATGAAGACATTTTGTAATGGTAGTTGCATCTATTAAGTAGCCTTTGCCAATGGAACACAAAGTGTGTGGGGTCAGCTCAGAGAGATTAATCAGGCGCTCTTCTTCATCCTCTGATTCTGGCCAGCACCCCTCCAGCCTCAGCCAGAAGTGGCTCATTTCTTCCTCCTCATCTTCCTCCTCCAGCTCCTCATCGTCTTCCTCGTCTTCCTCGAAGGGGCTCCTCAAGCGGCCCGGAGCCCAGAGGTACTGCCTTGGGCAAAGTCGGCGAATCCTCCTCACCCGCTGTGGGCGATGGGGAGATGGAAAGTGGGGGCCGCCTGACTGCTGCTCCCTCCACTTTGGCAGCTGCCAAATTACCCCTCGTCAGCACCTGGACCCTCTCCATGCTGGAGGTCAGGCACTAGGGGAAGAGCGAGCCACCCCATAGCTAGCAGGAGGCTGGATAACTGGGCAGTTCCTCCAGCCACCTCTGTAGCCATGCGCAGGCGCAGAGACCTGCGCACCCTGAATCATCTTTTAAAAAATATATATATCTTTATTGATATGCATATCAATAAAGATATAAAGTAAAATAAATATCTTTATTGATTTTAGAGAGAAGAAGGGAGGAAAGAGAGATAGAAACATTAATAATGAAAGAGACACCCAGCCAGCTTTCGCTCAGTGGCTGAGCCGTTGACCTAAAAACCGGAAGATCCAGCTGGGAATCTGGGTCAGGGCACATGCCCAGTTTGCCTCCTGATCCCCAGTCAGGGACGTGTAGGAGGCCCTGACTGGGGACTGAGCCCACAACCTGCGCATGCACCCTGACTGGGAATCGAACCCTAATAGCCTCAATCCTAGGTCAATATTCAACCACTGAACCACACATTGCCAGGCATATTCTTTATTTCTTATATGTCATTCTTAATTACCTTCATAGTTTTGATATCATTTTTCTTGGTGTTGAGCATCCTTACAATCAGTATTCTGAACTCTGTAGTTGATAGATTGCTTATTTCCAATTTACTTGACTCTACTCCTGGAGAATGCTCTTGATCTTTCATTTGGGGCTTGCTGTGTGTGTTGTTTTTGTCTCCCCATTTTGGCTGCCTATTTGGCCGTGTTTCTACATATTAGGTAGATCTGCTAGGACACTCAGACTTTTGGCGGGGGGGTCTCTGGTGCAGACCAATGTCAGACACTGTGACTGGCCTTGAGTACTCTTTTTGGAGCTATCAACAACCCACAGCTTGTGGTTCCCTCTGTTGTGGCTAGTTCCACTTGGACAAGACCAAGATGCACATCAAAGTCTGCTTTTCCAAGGCCTCAGACCAGAAGCAGATCAGGCAGACTCAAAGCACTCAGAGCTATGCCACTGCCTGAAGTCTGATTAATTTGAGTCTCTTAATGATCCTCACGCTGTAGACTATAGCAAGACATAAATTCTCCAATGGGTAGGAGAATTATTCCCGTGTCCAATCAAAAGCTGCCTGAATGGCAAAGGTCTGCCTGACAAAGGTATCTTCTACAGTAGGGGGGAATAACTCAGCACAGGAATCCAGATGGCTGCCCTCTGAGTTCTATCCCCAGAGCCAGGACCCCGGATTCTCCTCACACAGCTCTAGTCCACTCTGCCCTCCCTCTGCTATAGCCCAAGTTGAGTGGCTGCACATGAAACTTTGTGCTTTGGCCCTTTAATAGTTTGCCAGCATTTCCAGCTGTCACTCTCTGGCAGACAGAAATCCTGTCGCTTTTCACAGCCAGATGTTATGTGGGCACCTTTCTCAGCTCTGGGCTAGAGAGCCCAGCTTCAGGTTTAGAGTTCTCAGGGGGAATGCCCCCATATCTTAGATAGCCCTTCAGAACTTCAGCTGCTGCTTGTGGGAGCCCAGTCAGCCCTCTTGCACTTCCACCCTTCCTACCAGTCTCTATGTGGTCTCGTCTTTAAGTCCTTTGTTATAAGGGTGCCTCTAGCTAGTCTTCAGTTGAGTATTTAGGATGGCTTTTGTATATTTTAGTTGTAATTCCAGTTTGATCCTGGGGCAATATCAAAGTAGCTTCCATTCAATCTTCCACCATCTTGAAATCCTAACAATCCCATACCATCACAGAGGCCTCTGGTGCTCAGCATCTCAGCTGAAGTGGCACTGCCTCCTGTCTGGGGCCTGAATTCCTGATTGGTTCTTTTTTTATAGTTTCAATCTATTTGGTAAAGTACTCATTTTCTTCATTACTCTTTTCCAAGTGCATTGAATTGCCTGTATATATTTTTTCACATCTCCTTGAGTATTTTCAGAACTGCAATCCTGAATTCAATGTCATTTATATCACATATTTCCACATGTTCCAGATTATTTTCCGGGGATTTTTTTGTTTTCTTTCTGAGCCTCCTTGTTACTGTGACTACTTGTGGTATTTGCTGATCTTCTTTGCCTAGGCATCTACCGTATTATTGACTTTTCTTTAGCAGCTTTCCCATAAGAGGTCTTTCTACTATTTTTCAGTAGATCATGCTGAATTACAAGATTTTTACCTCTGTGACCTCCCAGAGCTACTCTCCTGCAATCAGACAGTAGAACAGCACTGCTTGGGGTGGTTTTTTTTTGGCCTCACAGTAATGGTGACCCCCAGTCCTCCACAGGGACCTCCCCACAGGCTCCACCTGGAGATCAATCACAGAGGGAAATAGCAGTTCTACTGCAACAGCTCTTGGTTTTCAGATAATATGCCCCTCCACCTGACACCAAGGACAATGGGAGGAGAGTTTTGGGAGTCCAAGGGACAGTGGGCTCTGTGGCTCCATTTCTTTACTCTGAAACACCACTCCTAGCAGCAGACAGATGTGGCAGAATCCCTGTGCTGTGTCCTTGCCCTGGCATCTCTGCTGGCTAAGCTGTTGTTCCCACTGCTTGTCCTGATGGAAAGTCCACCAAGACTCTATTCCTCCTGGCCCTTGGAAGTACTGGTTACCACCATCTTTCTCCCCTCTCTGGGGTGAGCAGGTCATCAGCTCCCTGTTGCAGAGCTGCATTCATGGCTGCCTGGGCTCTCCTCCCTTCTCACCTCCCTGTTCATTTCCAGTTGCCCACCTTTAGATGCTTCATTATGTGGGTCTCTCAGGCATGCTTCTATATTGAGTAGGGAATGCTTTGTTGGATTAAAGTTGATTAACTTGTTGAAGTTTCAGTGAGAGAGGCTGAGAGGTATCTCTCATGCTGATATTCCTCTGATGTTACTCCCCTGGGAAAACTCTTTATTGTAGGTCCTTCCTATTCATCACTTTGAGTATTTTAAGACAATCCCTCCTGACCTGCAAAGTTTCTTTTGAGAAATCAGCTGACAGTCATATGGGTGCTCCCTTGCAGGTAACTAACACTTTTCTCTTGCTGCTTTTAAGATTCTCTTTTTGTCTTTAACTTTTGGCATTTTAATGATGATGTGTCTTGGCTTAGATCTCTTTGCTTCATTTTGTTTGGGACTCTGTGCTTCCTGGCCTTGAGTTTCCTTTTCCTTCTCCATGTTAAGAAAATTTTCAGTCATTATTTCTTCAAACAGGTTCTCTATATATTTTTCTCTCTCTTTTTCAAAACTTTATGATGTCTTTATGCTTTATGTCATCCCAAAGGTGTCTTAAATTATTCTTTTAAAGTATATTTTCTTCATTTTGATGCTCTTATTGGTTCTTTTCTGCTACATTTTCTTCTAAATATTGATTCTATCCTCTACTTCATCCAACCATTGTTTATTTTACTAGTGCATTCTTAATTTTAGACATTATATTGTTCATTTCTGTTTTTTCATGGTTAATATGCTCCTTTTCATGCTGTTGAAGTTTTTGCTAAGTTTCTGGAGCAATTTTATAACCATTTCTAAACTCTTTACTTTGTAAATTGCTTGCCTGTATTTTACTTAGCTTTTACTAGAGATTTATCTTGTTCTTGTATTTGGAGCATGTTTCTTTGTCTCATTTTGATTGCTTCTTTGTGTTTATTTCTATGTAGATCTGCTATCTTTCCCAGTCTTGGTAAGGTGCTTTTATATATTAACTGTCCTGTGGGACCTAGTGGCAAAGTCTCCTGGATCACCTGAGATGAGTGCTTTAGGAATGTCTCTTGTGTGGTTTATGTGAGCCCTCCTATTGTAATTGACACTTGATTGCTTTTGGCTTGTTTGTGCATGGGGTCAACCCTCAGGCTGATTGATCATAAACATGGACCTTACCAAAGTGTACAGCTGCTTTACCATTGCTAACCACATGAAGTGGACTTCTCTGCAGCAGGGTCTGATTCATGCCAAGGTCTCCTTTTTTATATGCCACTTGTGAAGCTAATTAGATCCTGCCCTCATGTTGTCTCAAGCTGGCCACTGAGTTAGTTCTGGGGCCTTTTGGAAGGGACTTTATTGCAGGTGAATGTCAGATGTTGCCTGTGACTTGCTTTGGGCAACCTGTTTGTAGCTATAAAGAAATTCACAGTTAGGGGCATGGGAAGATCAGGTTTTACTCCAAAGTGGTCTTCCACAAGCACTGTCTGGGGATAGCTCAGCAAAAGGCTCAAGGCTCCCCAAGATCCACTTTCTCTCTGCTTGCTGGCTGCCTGTTAGGGTCAGTACTAAAAATGTCTGTGGCAGTAGTCAAGGGACATGAAGTAGGTTCTCAGTGAGCCACCAGGGAGGTACAAGTGATGTTCACCAGATTGATACAGGTTCAAACTCTGTGTCAGTGCTAGGTCTGGGGTCCAGCAAATGTCTCAGGGTAAACCAAGTCTAGCTGCCCTCTCCTAAATCCATGGAGATCTTTGTGGTGTATTCTGGTCTCAGGGAATATTTAGGGCAAGGCCAGCAGAGTATATTTGGCCCAAAGACACTTACACTTGGCCACCTGATGGGAGGGCTCTCCATCACTCAAGCATGCATGGAAAAAATGGCCCCTGTCCAAGAGCCACACATCTGTGTCTGTCCCATAATTGCCACAGATTCTGCCGGGAGCCTGAGCACAGGTCAGGGTCACCAGGGGTCACCAGGTAGAGCTAATAGGTCTCCCTTGAGGGAGAGATGCATATCAGGCTTGGGGAAAGGTGAGTAGAGTGTCCTCCATACCAGAGCCACAGAACTGTGCCCAGGATTCTGCCCAGACCTCTTGGGACCACAAAGCAGGATGGGGCCAGCAGAATTCAGGAGGATGGGGTCACCTGGAACTCAGAGATTGGGATTAGTGTATGTTCCATGAGGGGAGGCACTGGCCAGGTTCACCAAATTATACAAAATAGTTTGTACCACAGAACTCATTTAATGATGACCCCTGCATCTACCCAAACTTCTACACCCTGCCAGGCAGCCATTTTCCCACTATGGTATGAGCTCTGGTGCTTTGAAGAGTCAGGACGCTTTGAAGTGGGGTTTTTGCATTTCCCCAGGCTGATAATGTAATTACAGGAGTTCTCCACCTAAAAAAGATGATTTCTGTGGTGTAAAAGAGGGAATCAGCTGTAAAGGTACCTTGTAGCTGTCTCCTCAGTTCTTTCCTCAAAGTGACAAACATGTCTTTCCTCATGTGACTTTAATTTGCTACACCCCTCCCCCCTTCTTCAGGAGCCCAGGTTGAGTGGCTGGAAGTGATATTTTGTGCATTGGCCCTTAAGAGAGAATCTGTTTCCTTAGTAGACACCTGTTTCTCTCTGGTGAACAGAATCCCTGCTGATGTTTACTGCCAGAAGTTACGTGGGCGCCTCTTCACAGCTCTAGTTCTCTGGACTGGGGAGTATGATGTCAGCTGGAGATCCTACACTCCTTAGCGGGAATCTTTGCAGCTGAGATATCCATCCAGAATCTGAGCAGCTGGTTTTGGGAGTTGGGGCAGCTCTTTTTGAACTCTGTTTGCATCACTGCCCTTCTTACCAGTTTTGATGTGGCTGCTTCTATAAATACTTGGTTATAGGGCTCCTGTTTGGCTAGCTTCAGTTGGTCATTTAGG